GTCTAGACCTAAGCCTGAAACTGAGTGCTTCTACTGCAAGCAGACTGGTCACTGGAAGCGGAACTGCCCCAAGCATTTGGCGGATAAGAAGGATGGCAAGGTGAACAAAGGTATATGTGATATACATGTTATTGATGTGTACCTTACTAGAGCTCACAGTAGCACCTGGGTATTTGATACTGGTTCTGTTGCTAATATTTGCAACTCAAAACAGGGACTACGGATTAAGCGAACACTGGCAAAGGACGAGGTGACGATGCACGTGGGAAATGGTTCCAAAGTCGATGTGATCGCGGTTGGCACGCTACCTCTACATCTACCTACGGGATTAGTATTAGACCTAAATAATTGTTATTTGGTGCCAGCGTTGAGCATGAACATTATATCTGGATCTTGTTTGATGCGAGACGGTTATTCATTTAAATCAGAGAATAATGGTTGTTCTATTAAATGAGTAATATCTTTTATGGTCATGCACCTTTGAAGAGTGGTCTATTTTTGATGAATATCAATAGTAGTAACACACATATTCATAATGTTGAAGCCAAAAGATGCAGAGTTGATAATGATAGTGCAACTTATTTGTGGCACTGCCATTTAGATCATATCGGTATAAAGCGCATGAAGAAACTCCATACTGATGGACTTTTGGAACCACTTGATTATGAATCACTTGGTACTTGCGAACCGTGCCTCATAGGCAAGATGACTAAAACACCATTCTCCGGTTCTATGGAGAGAGCAACAGATTTGTTGGAAATCATACATACAGATGTATGTGGTCCGATGAATATTGAGGCTCATGGCGGATATCGTTATTTTCTCACCTTCACAGATGATTTAAGCAGATATGGGTATATCTACTTAATGAAACATAAGTCTAAAACATTTGAAAAGTTCAAAGAATTTCAGAGTGAAGTTGAAAATCATCATAACAAGAAAATAAAGTTTCTATGATCTGATCGTGGAGGAGAATATTTGAGTTACGAGTTTGGTGTACATTTGAAACAATGCGGAATAGTTTCGCAACTCACGCCACTCGGAACACCACAGCGTAATGGTATGTCCGAACGTTGTAATCGTACTTTACTAGATATGGTGCGATCTATGATGTCTCTTACTGATTTACCGCTATCGTTTTGGGGTTATGCTTTAGAGACGGCCACATTCACGTTAAATAGGGCACCATCGAAATCCGTTGAGACGACGCCTTATGAACTATGGTTTGGTAAGAAACCAAAGTTGTCGTTTCTTAAAGTTTGGGGCTGCGATGCTTATGTGAAAAAGCTTCAACCTGATAAGCTCGAACCCAAATCGGAGAAATGTGTCTTCATAGGATACCCAAAGGAAACTGTTGGGTACACCTTCTATCACAGATCCAAAGGCAAGACATTCGTTGCTAAGAATGGATCCTTTCTAGAGAAGGAGTTTCTCTCGAAAGAAGTGACTGGGAGGAAAGTAGAACTTGACGAGGTAACTGTACCTGCTCCCTTATTGGAAAGTAGTACATCACAGAAACCTGTTTCTGCGACACCTACACCAATTAGTGAGGAAGCTAATGATAATGATCATGAAACTTCAGAACAAGATACTACTGAACCTCATAGATCAACCAGAGTAAGATCCGCACTAGAGTGGTACGGTAATCCTATTCTGGAAGTCATGCTACTAGATCATGATGAACCTACGAACTATGAAGAAGCAATGGTGAGCCCAGATTCCGCAAAATGGCTTGAATCCATGAAATCTGAGATGGGATCCATGTATGAGAACAAAGTCTGGACTTTGGTTGACTTGCCCGATGGTCGGCAAGCAATTGAGAATAAATGGATCTTCAAGAAGAAGACTGACGCTGACGGTAATGTTACTGTCTACAAAGCTCGACTTGTCACAAAAGGTTTTCGACAAGTTCAAGGGATTGACTACGATGAGACCTTCTCACCCGTAGCGATGCTTAAGTCTGTCCGAATCATGTTAGCAATTGCCGCATTTTATGATTATGAAATTTGGCAGATGGATGTCAAAACTGCATTCCTGAATGGATTTCTGGAAGAAGAGTTGTATATGATGCAACCGGAAGGTTTTGTCGATACAAAGGGAGCTAACAAAGTGTGCAAGCTCCAGCGATCCATTTATGGACTGGTGCAAGCCTCTCGAAGTTGGAATAAATGCTTTGATAGTGTGATCAAAGCATTTGGTTTTATACAGACTTTTGGAGAAGCTTGTATTTACAAGAAAGTGAGTGGGAGCTCTGTAGCATTTCTGATATTATATGTAGATGACATATTACTGATTGGAAATGATATAGAATTTCTGGATAGCATAAAGGGATACTTGAATAAGAGTTTTTCAATGAAAGACCTCGGTGAAGCTGCTTACATATTAGGAATAAAGATCTATAGAGATAGATCAAGACGCTTAATTGGACTTTCACAAAGCACATACCTTGACAAGATTTTGAAGAAGTTCAAAATGGATCAAGCAAAGAAAGGGTTCTTGCGTGTGTTACAAGGTGTGAAGTTGAGTCAGACTCAATGCCCGACCACTGCAGAAGATAGAGAGAAAATGAAAGATGTTCCCTATGCTTCAGCCATAGGATCTATCATGTATGCAATGCTGTGTACCAGACCTGATGTGTGCCTTGCTATAAGTCTAGCAGGGAGGTACCAAAGTAATCCAGGAGTGGATCACTAGACAGCAGTCAAGAACATCCTGAAGTACCTGAAAAGGACTAAGGATATGTTTCTCGTATATGGAGGTGACAAAGAGCTCATCGTAAACGCTTACGTTGATGCAAGCTTTGACACTGATCCGGACGATTCTAAATCGCAAACCGGATACGTGTTTACATTAAACGGTGGAGCTGTCAGTTGGTGCAGTTCTAAACAAAGCGTTGTGGCGGGATCTACATGTGAAGCGGAATACATAGCTGCTCCGGAAGCAGCAAAGAAGGAGTCTGGATGAAGGAGTTCATATCCGATCTAAGTGTCATACCTAGTGCATCGGGTTCAATGAAAATCTTTTGTGACAATACTGTTGCAATTGCCTTGGCAAAGGAATCCAGATTTCACAAGAGAACCAAGCACATCAAGAGACGCTTCAATTCCATCCGGGATCTAGTCCAGGTGGGAGACATAGAGATTTGCAAGATACATACGGATTTGAATGTTGCAGACCCATTGACTAAGCCTCTTCCACGAGCAAAACATGATCAGCACCAAGGCTCCATGGGTGTTACAATCATTACTGTGTAATCTAGATTATTAACTCTAGTGCAAGTGGGAAACTGAAGGAAATATGCCCTAGAGGCAATAATAAAGTTATTATTTATTTCCTTATATCATGATAAATGTTTATTATTCATGCTAGAATTGTATTAACCGGAAACATAATACATGTGTGAATACATAGACAAACAGAGTGTCACTAGTATGCCTCTACTTGACTAGCTCGTTAATCAAAGATGGTTATGCTTCCTAACCATAAACAAAAGAGTTGTTATTTGATTAACGGGATCACATCATTAGTTGAATGATCTGATTGACATGACCCATTCCATTAGCTTAGCACCCGATCGTTTAGTATGTTGCTATTGCTTTATTCATGACTTATACATGTTCCTATGACTATGAGATTATGTAACTCCCGTGTGCCGGAGGAACACTTTGTGTGCTACCAAACATCACAACGTAATTGGGTGATTATAAAGGTGCTCTACAGGTGTCTCCAAAGGTACATGTTGGGTTGACGTATTTCGAGATTAGGATTTGTCACTCTGATCGTCGGAGAGGTATCCCTGGGCCCTCTCGGTAATGCACATCACATAAGCCTTGCAAGCATTGCAACCAATGAGTTAGTTGCGAGATAATGTATTACGGAACGAGTAAAGAGACTTGCCAGTAACGAGATTGAACTAGGTATTGGATACCGATGATCGAATCTCGGGCAAGTAACATACCGATGACAAAGGGAACAACGTATGTTGTTATGCGGTCTGACCGATAAAGATCTTCATAGAATATGTAGGAGCCAATATGGGCATCCAGGTCCCGCTATTGGTTATTGACAAGAGACGTGTCTCGGTCATGTCTACATTGTTCTCGAACCGTAGGGTCCGCACGCTTAACGTTACGATGACAGTTATTGTGAGTTTATGCATTTTGATGTACCGAAGTTAGTTCGGAGTCCCGGATGTGATCACGGACATGACAAGGAGTCTCGAAATGATCGAGACATAAAGATTGATATATTGGAAGCCTACATTTGGACATCGGATTCATTCCGGATGAAATCAGGATTTTACCGAAGTACTGGGGGGTTACCGAAACCCCCCCGGGGGTTAATGGGCCTACATGGGCCATAAGGGAGAAGAGAGGGGCCGGCCAGGGAAGGCCACGCGCCCCTCCCCCCTAGTCCGAATAGGACAAGGAAGGGGGGGGGGCGGCGCCCCCCTTTCCTCTTCTCCCTCCCCCTTTCCTTCTCCAACAAGGCAAGAGAGGGGGAGTCCTACTCCCGGTGGGAGTAGGACTCTCCAGACGCACCCCTTGGGGCCGGCCGCACCTCCCCCTCCCTCCTTTATATACGGGGGCAAGGGGGCACCCTAGAACACACAAGTTGATCGTCATGATCGTTCCTTAGCCGTGTGCGGTGCCCCCTTCCACCATATTCCACCTCGATCATATCGTTGCAGTGCTTAGGCGAAGCCCTGCGTCGGTAGAACATCATCATCGTCAGCACGCCGTCGTGCTGACGGAACTCATCCCCGAAGCTTTGCTGGATCGGAGCCCGGAGAGCGTCATCGAACTGTATATGTGCTAAGAACTCGGAGGTGCCGGAGTAACGGTACTTGGATCGGTCGGATCGGGAAGACGTACGACTACTTCCTCTACGTTGCATCAACGCTTCCACTTCGGTCTACGATGGTACGTAGACAACACTCTCCCCTCTCGTTGCTATGTATCACCATGATCTTGCGTGTGCGTAGAATTTTTTTGAAATCACTACGTTCCCCTACATTTCTGTCCACACGTCAACGACAACGGGTGGTTATGGTCATCTTTGTGTTCTGCTATGTACCACCCCTTGTCATTTGACCGCAGCAACCTGATTATAGCATTGCATCCGCATCTGGCCGAGCGGCTGTTTTCCCTCAATGGTTTCCCCTGCAAGGTTAAAACGGACAGTAGAAAATGTCGTCAGTCTATCTATCACGACATATCAATCAGTCACCCAATGATGCGAATACTTTGACAGTTGTTCAATTAACATACCGCACAAGCACACACAATCTCTTGCATGCATCTCTTCCTTTCAACATTCAATCTGCTCTTGGCAAGTCTAACACCAAATCCGCACTCCCACGAATACAGATTATAGAATTCATAAGCTTCGTCCAAGGAGTCAAAGCTTGTACCAATGCTTGGGTACACAACAGGTCCATCCCTCTTCTCTGTATAAGCACGGACAGACAATTCCAGAGCTGAAATCCTGTTTGGATTCATCTCCCTCTCCTCGGGAGCTTTACCCACCCTGACCCTGCATAACCATCTCGGCAGGAGATGACACACAAGAAAACAACTAATTAAAACCATTGCCTTTTGGAAGTACATTAATAGTCACATAAAAGATCTAAGCAGGAGACTAGTGCGTGTATAATATTCGGCACAGGCAGTCTCAAGTTCCTCGACCGTCAACAGAAAAGCTCCAAGCATCATACAGACTAACAAGCTGTCGTAAAATAATCAACTACGTAGCCCAATAAAAGCTCACAAGAATAAGATGACCAATTCCTCAAACTAATCAATCGTCAAAAGCTTTCAGGAATCAAAATCCCAATGGTTCATGTACAAAATCGGTTTACGAAACCTCACAGTTCTCTCTTCTAGTTTCTCAGCCATCGACAGACCAGCTCCCAGCATCATCTAGACTAATAACCTGAGATCTACATAAAAATAATCAACTACGTAATCCAATACAGCTTGGAGTAATCAGCAGAACAAATTCTCAAACTAAACAACCATCGAAAACTCCCAGGAACCAAAAACAAAAGACTGATGAACAAATTCAGTATATGAAACCCACTAGTTCACTCACAATAATCAGGTGCTTGGGAATCTAACAAATACGGAGAGAAACTACATCTAAATAAATTATGAATCCTTCATGAACCCCAACGACAACAGATATATCCATGAATAATATGACCAAGTCCTTTAACTAATCAATCGTCAATAGCTTCCAGGAATCAAAATCCCAATGGTTCATGTACAAATTCAGTTTAGGAAACCCCATAGTTCTCTCTTCCAGTTTCTCAACCATCAACAGACCAGCTCCCAGCATCGTCTAGACTAATAAGCTGAGATCCACAATGCTCCCAACCACGTAATCCAATACAGCTAGCAGTAATCAGCATAACAAATTCTCAAACTAAACAACCGTCAAAAACTTCAAGGAACCAAATCCCAAAGCCTCATAAACAATCAACTGCTTTCTGTAACTAAGAACGTGCCTAGGGTAGAGATCTAAGATTGCAAAACAAGAGACAAAGAAAAAAAGAGGGGATTGATTTTCACTGACCTGCGCGTCCAGCCGCTGGTGGCTTCAGAGCACACCTCGCCCACCACTGCATCCACATGCGGCCGAGCACAACCGGCGGCAGCGAACACGTCGTTTGGGACGCTCATGGAATCCTGGGACTCCAATGGCAAGACGGAAGTGCTCCTCGCACCGGACGCAGCAGAAATCCTATGAATTGACGGAGCGGCCAACTCGGTGAGAAATCCCCCAAATCTGTGCCGGTTAGTAGCAAAGACGGTTGGCCGGAGGGAGAACAAAACGTACCCATTAATCTCGACACCATTGGTAGACATCTCGCCGGCGCCGGAACAGCACGGCCGCCGCTGTTAGACGAACTGATGCAGATTGGAATGGAGAAGACGACCCGCTGCGTGGCTGTGGTTTATCCCACGCCACCCAACCCAGCCGCGCGAGGGGGTGTGCCTGACAAGATTCTCTCACATGTGCTGTTTCGAAGGACCTAACATGGGCCCTAACCTTGGTCCAAGCCAACGACGCGCGGGGACAGACGCTTTGGATGGGCCGCACACATTACGCCTACACATCCACTAGCCGTATCGCGGGCTGTATTTCAGTCCATAGGCCTGCCACGCACTGACTGGGGTGCACATCCCAAGGCCCAAACCAACGCCCACGATACCGGCCTGCCTGTGGCTCGGCCTCTGAAAATCCGCACTCTGGAGCCCCACCCGCTCCACCGCTGGATCGTCCACACCGGACACAAAAATCAAGAAAAGACGAGAGGGAGCCATGCTCCAAGCGGTAGAGCAGAGCAACGGGGAGAGTGAACTCTAGATGACGGTGAATCCTGCATTCATCATGGATTCATGGGCACACTGCAAAGGCAGAGGAACCGTGGCTAAGGGCTTGTCCAAACGCCACTGTAGCCTGTAGCCTCAGCCTCCACCACCACACCAAACATCCAGGTGATCCGAGGAGTGGCTCCATAACACTCAACGTATCTTGCAGAGGATGCGAATGCTCCAACCGACAAAAGACACAAGCCACTACTTTTGAAGAAAAGCTGAAATGTGCTGTCAGAGAGCAAAAGCGCCAGCGAGCACAATAGGTTTGTGCGTAGAGAGAGAAAATGGTAAGATCAGCAGCACAGTGCAGGGAAGACAGCTTTGGCCATTTTTGAATAAAATTAACATCTGGCTCTAAGTGTTGTCCAAGGCTTTGGTTACCGAATGGTGCATTTATACCGAGGGAAGACCGGTAAACGTGGTTACCACGGTTACCACGAAATTTCAAACGAATTTCGAATGAAATTTATAATTGAATTTTTGAATTCAAATTCTTTCAAAAACAGATATAGATAGCACTTGACTTATATTTATCATAAAAGAGCTACTAGCTCAGTGGAACATTGTCTATGCGCGTGCTATCAGGTGCTGCCATACTTTACTATACATTGAGCATTTGAATTCAAAAAAATTGAAAATTTTCAATTTTTTTGCTCGAAATTCTCATTTACTGAGGGGGACTGAAATATGTGGTAACCGTGGTAAATCTCGAAATTTTGAACGGTAACCAAAACCCTAGTGTTGTCTGGAGGTGTTATCTGATGTTAGACTATATAGCTTCTGTATTTACATGTGTATACTGTAACGTTGTATACCACCTCATTATATATATGTGATAGGCCACCCCTAGAGGGTTGTGCCGGTTCCCCCGAAACCTATTGTCTTACATGGTATCACGCTAGGTTACATACGCTTCCGCCCAAAACCCTAAACCCAGCCGTCGCCGCCGCCCTGCCGCTGCATCGCCACCATGTCGTGCGCTGCTGCGTCCGGTTCCACCGCAGCCGGTTTTCTGCCGGCCTCCCTCGCGGCGCTCCTCTCGCGGCCGTTGGATGCCGCCTCCCTGCAGTCGCCGATCGGGACGCGGAGTGTGGGCTCCCTGTTCGCGATCCCACTGGCCGCCTCGTCGCCCGGCCAGGCGCTTGCGGTGCACACCGCCACCGCAACGTCCGCCTCCTCCACCGCGGCTGCCTTCTCGCCTATGCCGCTGGTGGCGGAGTCCGCCATGATGGCGGGTCTCGCGGCGTCAACCGCGGTCGCCGCGCCCCCTGCACCCGCGCGGTTGCCCCTCCGACTGTCTCCACGGTGGTCGCACCTCAGCCAGTCTCCTCGATGGGATCGCAGCCGCCGCCACCGTTTCACTTCGGCCATCTCATCACCATTAAGTTGTCATCGGACAACTACATCTTCTAGCGCGCGCAGGTTCTTCTGCTCCTTGGGAGTCATTACCTGCTTGGCTATGTCGACGGCTCTCTCCCTTGCCCTCCTGCGCTAGTGGACAGCGTGCACGGTTCGGTATATAATCCGGCTCACCGTGTTTGGACAGGGCAGGACCAGGCGAACCTCTCCTCCATCCAGGGGTCGCTCTCTCCGGCCGTTGCCGGTCTTGTTGTCTTCGCCAAGACGTCACATGAGGCGTGGACCATTCTTGAGCGCTCGTTTGCAGCACAGTCGCAGGCTCGTGTCTCTGCGCTCCGTCGTCAACTTGGGGAGTGTCAAAAGCTTGACTCCACTGCCACTGAGTTCTACAACAAGGTCAAGGGCCTCGCCGACACGTTGGCCTCCATTGGACAGCCCCTCACCGACTCTGAGTTCAACTCATTTATTGTCAATAGTCTTGATGAGGAGTATGATGCCATAGTCGAGATCATCAACGAGCGGGGCAACTCGACACCCATGCCGGCACACGAGGTCTTTTCCCGCCTCCTTCTCACTGAGCAACGGGCCGAGACGCACCGCTCCAGGGGAAACGGCTCCCTCTCGGCCAACGCCGTCACCAAGGGTGGCCGCTCTTCTTCATCATCCCGGGCTCCTTCGGGGCTGCCACCACCGCCCGTCTCGGCCCCCCCTCCTACTGCGACATTACCGGGGGCTGGCGGTCCGCGTGTGTGTCAGCTTTGTGGCCGCGATGGGCACTGGGCCTCCAAGTGTCACAAGCGCTTCCAGCGGAGTTTTCTTGGTCTTGGCAATGACGGCAAGGATACACGCAACTTTGCCCGTCAGGTCGCCATGGCTGATCGTCCGGCGCCGCAGAAGCAACAGGGACACACTCAGTCATACTCCATCGATCCACACTGGTACATGGACTCTGGGGCGACAGAGCACCTGACAAGCGAGATGGGGAAGCTTCACACTCGTGAACCCTATCATGGCTCCGACAAGATCCACACCGCCAATGGAGCAGGTATGCACATCTCTCATATTGGTCAAGCATCGCTTCTCACTAGACATGCCAATAGGAGTCTTCAGCTTCGCAATGTTCTTCGAGTTCCATCTGTGACACGTAATCTTCTTTCAGTTCCTAAACTCACACGTGATAATAATGTGCTTTGTGAATTTCACCCTTTTGATCTTTTTATTAAGGATCGGGGCACGAGGGACATTCTTCTTAGTGGGCGGCTCTGCCAGGGCCTCTATCATCTGGAGCATCCTGGCATCGCTCGCATCTTCAGTGGAGTTCGGGTATCTCCATCACAGTGGCATGCTCGTCTTGGTCACCCGGCCACACCTATTGTCCGACATGTTTTGCGTCGTCATGAGCTTCCTAGTGTGTCTAGCAATAAAGATGTAGCAGTGTGTGATGCTTGTCAGCAGGGGAAGAGTCATCAACTTCCTTTTTCGGAGTCCAGTCGTGAGGTGAAACATCCTTTAAAACTTGTGTTTTCAGATGTATGGGGTCCTGCTCAGACTTCTGTCAGTGGTCATAATTATTATATAAGTTTCGTTGATGCTTACAGTCGCTTTACCTCGCTTTATCTTATCAAACATAAATATGATGTGTTTGACATTTTTGTTCAGTTCCAAAAACATGTTGAACGCCTTCTCAAGCACAAAATTGTTCATGTTCAGTCGGACTGGGGCGGCGAGTATCACAACCTCAACTCCTTCTTTCAGTCGCTTGGGATCGGTCACTATTTAGCATGTCCACATACACATCAGCAGAATGGTTTAGTAGAACGTAAGCATCGTCACATTGTTGAAGCTGGTCTTACTCTTTTGGCCCATGCATCTGTTCCGTTTCGGTTTTGGAGTGATGCTTTCATCACTGCATGTTTTCTCATCAATCGTACTCCCACTCGTGTTTTGAACATGAAGACTCCCATTGAAGTTCTCCTTAATGAACAACCGGACTACACCTTTCTCAAGGTGTTTGGGTGTGCTTGCTGGCCCCATCTCCGTCCATATAACAAGCGCAAGCTCGAGTTTCGTTCCAAAAAGTGTGTTTTCCTTGGTTATAGCTCTCTTCATAAGGGATACAAATGTCTTCATGTGCCCACTAATCGTGTCTACATCTCTCGGGATGTTGTGTTTGATGAGCATGTATTTCCCTTTGCCAAACTCCCTGTGTCCACTGCCGAACCACCACCCATGCATTCATCCTCTGTTGCTTCTGACCAATTTGATGATGTTGCATATTCTCCTCTGTTGTTGCCTAACCATGGTGCAGGCACTGGTCGTGGGGCTCGTTTGGAGATTTTAGAGGCGCCATCGCCTCCTTCGTCGCCATCGCCTTTATCGTCGGCACCTTCAGCTGTGCATGATAATCACATGGCGCCCCTGCATGGCCTCGGTCCCCGTGCCCATGCACGGCCGATCGCTGCCCCGGTCCGGTCGCCCGCTTCGCCGCCTCTGGCTTCTGGGCCGGCATCGCCACAGTCGCGCTCGCGACCCCGGTCACGCCAACGGCGACTGGGCCGACCTCACCTGCCCCCGTCTCGCCTAGGGCGTCTGGGCCGCCGTCACCGGGGCCGGTCTCCCCCGCCCTTGTCTCGCCCAGGGCGTCTGGGCCGTCGTCACCGGGGCCGGCCTCGCCCGCCCTCAGTTCGCCCATGGCCTCTGGGCCACTGTCATCGGGGCCGGTTTCGCCCAGGCCGGTTTTGGCCTCATGCAGCTCGGAGCCGCCCGGTACCGGCTCTCCTGAGGCGACGTCTGGCTCTTCGCCGACCGTGACGTCTCCATCGCCCTTGCCTTCGCCGGCTCCTGCTGCTGCTCTACGTCCACATACGCGCAGCCGGAGTGGCATCTTTCAGCCTAAGCAATGTCACGATGGAACAGTTGCCTGGTTAGCTGCATGCATGTCTGCTGCTCTTGCAGATCCATCCTCCGAGCCACGCACGTATCAAGCTGCTATGCGCATTCCTCATTGGAGAGAGGCCATGGAGCAGGAGTATCAAGCGCTCATTCGCAATCAGACATGGACTCTTGTTCCTCCATCATCACGGGTTAATGTCATTGATTCTAAATGGGTTTTCAAAGTGAAGAGGCAT